AGGTCCCCTCCAACTCTCCTCCTTAAAGAGTGGAATGTTGGCTCTGGGAGCCGCAACAGAATAAACAGATCCCTCACTACAGATCCCTCACTCTGCACTGAGAGTTACTCTCCCATCCAGCACCCACCTACCTGCTCCCCTAGCCTTTCCCTTCCCATTCTTTGGAGGGGATCGGGCTCTAGCAATATTGGCAGTAATGGGTATGGGGGCTGGTGTTACAGTTCTCCCTGGGCCTGGTGGAGAGGAGCTGGGCTCCTGGGGTTGCTGAGGGACATGGAGCAGATGCCCATTATGCTGTGGGGGGAAGCCTGTGCTATTTCTCCCAGCCAAGAGGAGAGGACATCCTGAGATAAATAAGGAAATTCTATCTGCTGCTGCTGGCAAGCCTGAATGTTGGAAACATACTGAAGTCAATGCTCTCTTTCTGATAATCTGAAAATTCCTGTGTCAGTTCACTTAGGACACATACCCTCACTCTCAACAACAGAGGGTTATTCTCTACAGCCCATTCTTTAACAGCAGGGCAGCCTGCTCCTCCAGCTGCAATTCTTTTATCCTTGACTTAGGCGGCCAGGAATGGAAGCGGGAGGGGGAGAAGTGGGCGGTGGCAGGAGGCAGGGCCTGGGGGAGAACTGGGACCCTGTGGACTTCAGCCTGAGGCTGTTTCTCTCTGTCACCAGTTGTTGGTGCTTTTGCTCAAAGCTGCCAGGTGAGTGCTCATGCTGGGGCAGGGGGCAGCTGGGGTGGCACAGGGCTAAGGGGCAGAGGTGGTGGGGGCTGCCTGGGGCTCTACACTGCCTTCTCCAACTCTACTGTGCACACCAAAGACCTGGGGATATAATTAAAGTTCAGATTTGATTTGCTAAACTGGGGGTGTGGCCTGAGATTCTGCAAACCTAGTGATGCCAGTTCTGCTTCACATTGTCCACACTTCGACTAAAAGAATCTAGGACCTACCAGGCCAGGTGAGGTGAGATGGGAGCAGTGAGCCAGTCCAGCACTGTCCTCAGTGGACATACTACACTCATACCTTCACTGAGATGGATTCTGCCACCAATGGAATCCTGAATATTTTCTCCAAAAGAATAGAGATGCTTGGAAAAATTCTTACCAAAATCATGATGGATTAAAAAAAAATCTATTTACATATTTGAAAATCCCCTCAAACTGGGCTTTCCTCCTTCTCCCCGCTACTGAGCTCACAGCTATTGCTCCACTAACTAAAATCTTAACAGGGCCCAGAACCTACCAATTCTCTCCCAAATTTACCTGCAAACTATTTCTCCAGTCCTAGAAACAGAGTGGTGCTGAGCTTTGAGCTTTGTCAGCAATGCTGAGCCCTCAGCTCCCTAGGTCCTGAAGTTCAGCCTGGGGACGCTGGTCCTTGTGGGCAGAGCTGCAGACACGTTTATAGAAGGATGTGGGTCTCCGCGAATAAGACAGGTGGGCTGGGGAGGGTTGGAACAGATTGGGGGGTGGGGGTGTTCACCGCGTTCCAGGAAAGCAGATGAGGGAGGAGGGAGGACTGTGTTAGGCTCAGGTCTATAGGAAACTCCCTTTGGTCTACACTTTGGGAGCTGGAGCACAATTTTGTCTGAACATGAGGCCCCAGAATGTGTGTGGAAAAAGCGTTTTGGTGATAACAGCCATGGGGTAAAGGACAGAAGGGGACTCAGAACTAGATATGGAGGCTCTAAGCCAAGGGGTTCTCAGGCAAGTCCTCTTGTCCTTTTTCTGCTCTCCCTTCCAAACCCCTAAAGCTCTGTGGTGAGCTCTGGAGACCCCAGTTCAGTTCCTAGAACTTCTTAGAGGACATTTGGGTGTCTGGCTATGGCTCTGGGGTGGGCACAGGACAGAGAAGAACCAGAGGCAGGGCCTCTGGAAACTACTCAAATTCCCAATACTTAAAATATACCAGGCCTGCTCTGTGTTAAATTGCAGTTCTGCTGGGAATGTGCCAGAAGTCCTTTGGGAGTGTTGGGCCTGCACTTGGAAATGAGCTGAGAGCAAGACTTCAGAATTTACCAAATTAGAATTCAGTCCGAAACTCACCAGGAGATCCAGGGCAGAAACAATCAGAGCCACGATGCCTCCCCAGGGCAGGGACCCCCTAGACTATGAGGCAGGGAGGGGCTGCAGGCTTCCTCATAGATGAGGCTGGTTGAGGGAGGATTTGCAACTAGCCTGGAAATGGGTAGATTATCATGTCCCAACCAATAAAAGCTCTTTGAGATGCTCTTGCTTTACAGAGCTGGTAACTGAAGCCTAGAGTAGAGAGGTGATGGACCAGAGCTACCATAAACAGTGGTTCTTAACCAGGGGACAATTAGCAATATCTGGAGACATTTGAGAGGAGTAGGAGAGAAGTGTGCTACTGGCATCTACACTGGGTAGAGGCCAGGGACGCTGCTAAATGTCTTACAACGCACAGGACAGCATCCCCCAGGGTCCCCAAACAAAATTATCAGGACCAATTGTCAATAGTGCCAAGGTTGAGAAACCCAGAACCAGCATTGGAACTTGACCTTCCTTTTGGTTCTCTATGGAGCTCAATATCTCTCTAAACAAAATTTAATTAAGCATTAATTAAGAAACTGTTTTTCTCCCCCAGACACTTCACTATATACTTTTTTGGGGTACTTTTTTTCATCCAGTGAGTAAGCTAGTGATTTTGTTTTATTGTTGTCTTGATGTTCAAGTTAGAAAACAGATTTTGTTTCTTTAGTTACCTTTTATTATTTTCAATTATTCATTCTCTTCTCCTGAATTCTGAAGAATTACTCAATGTGCTTTTAGCACTGCAATTTGATTTTCCTCAGAATCTGTCCTATTGCCTCTGAAGTAGTTTTTTTTTAAGGAATACATTTATTTTATTAATTTTAAAAATGTTTTTATTGATTTTGAGAAAGGAGGGAAGAGAGATAAAAACATCAATGAGAGAGAAACATCGATCTGCTGCCTCCTGGATGCCCCGTACTGGGGATAGAGCCGGCAACCTGGGCATGTGCCTTGCCCCATGTTGAACCAGCAACCTTTCATGCATGGGTCGACGCTCAACCACCGAGCCACACTGCAGGGCCAAAGTAGATTTTAGATATGCTACTGATGATCTTTCTCCCACACTACCTGTAGTGGGTTTATACATTTAAAGATCCATTTATTCTGAATTTTGAGGAGTCTTGGAAATGAGAGAAGATACATCTCTCTCTTCAATTTGCTATCTTTATTCATGAGGACAATTTTGCATCTTTTTAGAGACTGAAAATAGGGTTCTTCTAAAAATTTTAACCCAGTTTTTTGGAAATGAATTTTCAGTGGCCTGATGTACTTATGAGTCTTCACAATCTATGACGAGGGTAGAAATATAGGGGCTGAGGAGCAGGCAGAGGTTCAAACTCGATTCTAATGACTCAAAATATGGTTCCTCACAGTTGGTGGATGGGAACATATTTCTCTGGTCAAGTGAAACTTTTGGAAGCATCTTAATCCATTCCTTTCAATTGCACAGAAGTGACCATTCTGCCTAAATTTTGGCATATGGCCTGTTCTTATCTATAGTTTATGACACTAATGCCCATTTAAAATTATTTTTGTGCATCTTTGTGGGTTTCATAATTGGGAAGCATGTTTCATTTGCTGCCATATTAACTTAGAAGTGTAGGCTATTATTATTATAGTTAAAAGGGAGAAACCTAAGTAAGTTCATAGTCAGAGAGTAAATAAGGGTGGTCTAAATTACAGGAAAAATAATTTAGGGATCAAAAACTTGAAGAAGTCAGAAAGGACACAGATTTGAAAGGGCTAGTAGCCTTGGACAAGTATAGGGCCACTTCATTTTCTAAGATGCTATACAAAGAAGTGACTATGGAGAGAAGTAGTAGCTGTGAGGTTTTATATCAAAGAGTCTCTATTTTCACTGTAGTATAAGAGGTTTTCGTGGTCTTCTAAGAGTGACAAGAACCAGGTGTGTTAAGAGTTTGGGCTTAATGGTGATGATTAGAAACAGTGACTTGGCGTTAGGAAGGCTGCTAATTGGGTCAAAGACAAAGATGACAATCTGGGCTGGTAGCATGATGATATTTTGTCCAGAGAATTGAGGAATTGCTGAAATCTGTTCCTGACCATGGCCACTTCTCACCATGAGGGAGATATGAGCCCAAGAAACAATGGCAAGGAGAGTAAAATTTAAAATTTTTCCCAGTCAATTCGGGCTTTGACCCCACACTCCATTACATTTAACTAGTACATTTTTCTGTGTTTCTTAATAAAGAAAAAGAAACAAAAAGTTCTTTTTCCTAGGTCTAAAGAGCATTAGATGAAAGCAAGCCTTGACACTCACTCTCTTCACTTTGATTCCCATGGAGCCTCCTAACCACATCTCAGTTTTACTTTGTAATGGGAGCAGAGGCCAGCCAGACATTCCTGTGAACGCCTGAGGGCACGGGACCAGAGAGAAGCAGACAGCAAGAGAATACTGTACACATTCCCCCCAAGCTCAGCACTGATTTTTGTTCAGGTGATGCTAGCAGCCGTACCAGAGCTGACAGCCATCACCTGGGGAAGTATCAGTTTTCAGAGGACACTGGTCTCTTGCTATTTAGCTTCTTTAGGGTGAGAGGGAAGGAAGGAGGGAAAGAGACAAAGACAGATCCTGGTCTCTACCCAATGCTGAGAGTTCCTCTCCACTGCAGCAGGGGAGAGGACAGAAGAAAGAGCCACATCCACACTTACTATTATTTTACATAGATGATTCCATTAACTGGGACAGAAGAAAGAGCCACATCCACACTTACTATTATTATTTTACATAGATGATTCCATTAACTATATAAATAGGTGCAATCAGAGTCTTAGTATTTGATCAGCCAGATCCTTGGAGAGGAGCAACAAGGCTTGCCTTACCCATCTTTGGATTAGGAGTGAAGAGGTGGCCTACAGCTCCACCTAAAGGACATTGAGCAACACACCTACACTCATCATTGTTCTCTGCTCCATAACAGAATGTGTGGCAGATTCCTGAGGCGGCTGATGGCTGAGGAGAGCTGGCACTCCACCCCCGTGGGGCGCCTCATCCTTCCGGTGCTCCTGGGATTCCGCCTCATACTGCTGGCTACCAGTGGGACGGGGGTCTATGGCGATGAGCAGAGTGAATTTGTGTGTCACACCCAGCAGCCAGGCTGCAAGGTTGCCTGCTACGATGCCTTCCACCCCCTCTCTCCACTGCGTTTCTGGGCCTTCCAGGTCATGTTGGTGGCTGTGCCCAGTGTCCTCTACATGGGTTTCACCATGTATCATGGCATCTGGCATTGGGAAGACTCAAGAAAAGTGAAGAAGGAGGAGGAGACCCTGATCAGACAAGGACAGGGCAGCACAGATGTCTCAGGGCCTGAAAGCCCCAAGCTGCTCTGGGCCTATGTGGCACAGCTGGGGGTGCGACTGGTCCTTGAGGGGGCAGCCTTGGGAGGGCAGTACCATCTGTATGGGTTCAAGATGCCCAGCTCCTTTTCATGTCGTCGAGAGCCTTGCCTCGGTAGTATAACCTGCCACGTGCCCCGCCCCTCTGAGAAGACCATCTTCCTAAAGACCATGTTTGGGCTCAGTGGGCTCTGTCTCTTCTTTACTCTTTTGGAGCTGGTGCTCCTGGGCCTGGGGAGATTGTGGCAGACCTGGAAGCAAAAATCTTCCTCTTCTAACTACTTCACAACTTCCGAGACCACCAGAAAACACAAGGAACCAAACGATAACTTCCCAGTGGTGGAATCAAAAGAACAGTTCCGAGTAGCAGGTGAGAAGAGCACCAATGTCCCTCATTCTTCTTTCCTGATGATCCCCTCTTGGCAGAACCCTTACCCTCTGGGAAGTACAACTCCCACATGTTACAAAAGAGAAAAAAGTGAAGGGATTAAGCAAAAACAAACAAAACAAAACAACACCTCATAGACAGACAACAGTATGGTGATTTCCAGAGGGAAAGGGGAGTGGGGGGAGATAGAAGAGGGTAAATGGAGCGGGATAAATGGTGATGGAAGGAGACTTGACTTGGGATGGTGAACACACAATATAATATACAGATGATGTTATAGAATTGTACACCTGAAACCTATATAATTTTATTAACCAATGTCACTCCAATACATTAAATCTTTTTTAAAAAGTAGAAAAACAGGTTCTATGTAGATGTTCTGACCACTGCTCCCAACCCAACCTCCATCCCCGTCAATTTGATGACGTCTTCCGATGAACCAGGACGAGTGCTCAGTCAGTTGTACCTCCCAGTGCTTCCATTGAGGTCTCTTCCCATTTAGAAAAAGTCTCAGCTTCTGCTTGATTTTCTACTTTGCAGAGTTATAAAAACACCTGGCTCCACTCTGAAGGATACCCCATGACTGGATCTTCTCCCCAACATCCAGTGAGTGGGGATACATCTCCGTGACAAGTTAGAGGCTGTCGCCATGCTGCCTAAAGCATTTCCTTGACGAACTCCTGCTTGTGCCTTCTTCCCAGAATTTTCTGGTGTCAGCATCACAATTTTCATGGACTTTGTTTGAATAAGTCAGCAGAAACCTCCATAAAATCAAGCCTCACCCTTGTCCTGTGCAATAAAGATTGACTACTGTTGGTGGCATTCTTGTTACTAAAGACAATTCTTGTCTCAGTGACTCTACTTATCTCTCTCCTGTGGTTCTACATTCTCTGCTTCCCCAATTTCAAAGTCCTATAACCCTGAATACCCCCAGCCTTGCAGTAGATGTCACACCCCTTAACTCTGGCCTTCCAAGCATATATAACCTAGTGTCCTTTTAATATATGGATTAGATTTATTCAAACACCTGGCCACATCCCTTAGGAAGATTACTGTGAATTCAGAGGCTTATGTCCCCTGGACCACTGACAGCTCTGATTTCTGCTCAATTCTCATTCTCTTCTTGGTTCATGGCAGTTGCTCCATTGGCTACAGCACACAGCACCTTAAATGTGAAGCTAAGTTCCTACTTTCCCCTCAATTCTACTGAAAAGACATATGAGTTCCACTGCTCATGGGTAACGGTAAGGGGAATTGACATTATAGTGTGATTTGGGAGATAATTTAAAGCTGAATGACAGGTTTCTCTTTTCTTGAGTCTGTCATTTCTGTCCAAGAGCGTTCCAGCCTCCCACCTTTATGCAGAAACACCTCTCTCCTCAGTTCTTCCTTGTCCTCAAATTCTCAACAAAGAGTAGTTACCTAATTTTGTTTCTCCTTCTGAATCCCAAGTTACCCCAAGTAAATGAAAAAGGGGCATCCCTAAGGAAAGATATTTGGTTCCCCAAGAGACACTTTGGCAACAACTGGTAAAATGATAATTTTTCTTTCTGCTACACAAGTGTTTCATAAAGAATCCCTTACTTGAGCTCTAGCTGGTTTGGCTCAGTGGACTGAAGGGTCCTGGGTTTGATTACAGTCAAGGGCACAAGCCCAGATTGCGATCTCGATCCCCAGTAGGGGGCATGCAGGAGACAGCTGATCAATGATTCTCTCTCGTCATTGATAGTTCTATCTCTTTCTCCTTCTCCCTTCCTCTATGAAATCAATAAAAATATATTAAAAAATAGTAATAATCCCCTATCTGATATAGTCAAGTGACCAAGGACAGAAAAAAACAAATGTCATCATTCAGAATTTCTTCTTGATAGACAGCATCCCTTTCAAAACATATTATTCATGTGCCATATAATTCATCCATTTAAATTATGCAATTCAATGGCTTTTAGTACAGTCACAAAATTGTGCATCCATCAACACAGACAGTTTTAGAATATTTTCATCAATTCAGAAGGAAACCCTATGGCCCTCAGCTATTATCCCCAAACTCCCATAACTCCCAAACACTGCTTTGGCACCCTTGTTAAAAATCAATTGCTTGTAGATGTATGACTTTTTTTTAAATATATTTTATTGATTTTTTACAGAGAGGAAGGGAGAGAGATAGAGAGTTAGAAACATCGATGAGAGAGAAACATCGATCAGCTGCCTCCTGCACACCCCCCACTGGGGATGTGCCCGCAACCCAGGTACATGCCCTTGACAGGAATCGAACCTGGGACCTTTCAGTCCGCAGGCCAATGCTCTATCCACTGAGCCAAACCGGTTTCGGCGATGTATGACTTTTTTTTTCTGGATTCTATTATTTGTGGAGGAGAGGCTGTCCCATGATGTGACGGCTGTGGACCCTTAAGACAGATCCAGCTAGATTCCAGTCAGAACAGAGACCGCTTCCCATAAATCTCATCAGAGAATGTCTGATTAACCCGTACCCTATGTCCCCAGGCATGGTTGTTCCTGGAACAGGCCTTTGCCCTGCGCTGGGCAAGTGTGTAAGACGTTTTCCTCTTATCTGAGGCTGGGCACACCACAGTACCACTATCCATCCTGCCCTGTGCTATATAACCACATGGCACGGAGGATAGCCATGTTGTCTTGCTGCTGCCCAAGATATGTCTCATATGTAAGCTCCCTTAATAAACTCTTTTTTTAAATTAAATCTTTATTGTTCAGATTACATTTGTTCCTCTTTTTTCCCCCCCATAACTCCCCTCCTCCCA